GCTCCATGTCATTAAACTGTAAATGACTTAGTGAAAGTTAATGTACAACCTAAATACTGTGAGCTACATGTCATTAAACTGTAAATGGCTTAGTTAAAGTTAATGTACAACCTAAACAGATGTTGAAAAATTTCATTCAAATAGTGAAAGTTGTGGCTACATTGGTTTTTAAAACACTACATGTATTTGCATACATTCTATATGCTCCGAAATTCATTGAAACCTTACATGTAATTGCAGCACTGTATAAACAAATGTAAATTAAAACAATCTATATTGACCAGGTTAGCAAGATATTTTAATTTATTTTTGATCTGGATGTGGAAAATAACCTATGCAATTAACTCTTAAATTTGATGGAATTAAGAGATAGGTAGTCAGTTCATTATTACTGGCAACAATGTGACATCGTATAATTATTTGTAACAATACTATCTCTGTGGCTTCAACTGGTATTGAACTGATTCCATTCATCAACAGATTCCAGTTAGATGGATATGTATTCAGTGTTTCCATGGATTCCTATCACAGTAATACTTGTATGGCTTTATGATGCTTTTTAACATTTGATGGGTTTGTTATCAGCATACAGCATCTTCAGCAGGGTCATACCACCATAGCATTATCTTGGTGGCACTGTCACAGTTTAAGTGGTACTGTTGCTGCGATGATATTTGAACATAATATTAATGTTTTGACGATCAAACAAATTATAATTTTATAATTTGAGAGGATTTTCAGGCAAAGTCTCTATCAGAAGGACTCTACAATATGTGAATCACCAATTTATTAATTTTTTTATGGTTTGATTACTTTATTTTATAAACAATTGCCAATTACACGGCAAATCCACATTTCCTATATTTCTTACATTAAAATTAATCACACTTGCTAAATTTTTGAGATAACAATTTCTGAATAATATATACACACATACAATGTCAAGACTGTGGCTAGATATTACAAGAAATTAGAACTGAAGAATAGGAATTTAAGTGATTTTCATAAATTATTAAAGTTAGATTTGAGCCAATTACATGACAATTATATTACAGTCACATGATCTCACAATTCAGCTTGGTTTATTGCTTACATAAAATAATTACATGCAACAAGAAATTATTGTTTAAAGTATGGTATTCTCAATACATTGCATTGTTAATCATGTATAAATTCTCATCATCAACTACCAGCAATAACGGTTCAATGGTTTCAGAAAAGAAATTAGATTTCCTCATTTAATAATCAATGCAATAAAATAGTTTATAAAACACTGTACAGTTGACAAGGTGGTTGAGTAGCAGGTGTACTAAGGCACTACAAATAATTTAATAACAAGATTGATGCAGACCTAATTAGGGAAGAAATCAGCCAAGTGTGGACAATCACATGTTCAGTGCAAGCTAAATATTACCTACACTAAAGTCGTGTGCAATAAAAACACA